ATGGGATGGGATGGGATGGCCTTCACCCAAAAACTGGAAATGCCAATTCACTCCCCTTTATCCCCCTGAACAGGCTCTGCCACCATCTACAACTACAATCTCTCGGAAATTGGAGACAGGGAGGAGATCCGGGGAATGATCGGGATTTGCCCGCAGTTCAACACACAGTTTGAAGTCCTGACAGTGAAAGAAAACCTGAAAACTTTTGCAGAAATCAAGGGCATCAGGTCCCAAGAGGTGGAGCAAGAGGTGAGTTTCTGCTCCCCACAATCCCATAAAGTCTTCTTTCCACCTGGATYTTCTGMAAATTGAAGYTCCAAGCYCCATCCARCCTGGCCTTGGRCACTGCCAGGGATCCAGGGGCAGCCACAGCTTCTCTGGGCACCCTGTGCCAGGGCCTCCCCACCCTCACAGGGAAGAATTTCACCCTAATATCCAATTTAAACCTGAATCTACCCTAAAAAAAGGACAGAGGAACAACTCCTGCTGAGAATGGGCATCCTCGTGCTGTTCTAGGTGCAAAACATTCTGGAACTGCTGGATATCAGCAACATCCAAGACACTCAAGCTGAGAAACTGAGCGGTGGACAAAAAAGGAAGTTATCCATTGGAATAGCCATGCTTGGAAATCCCCAGGTAAAGCAGCAGGCATGAAACACAGGGAATATTACAGTCCAACAAAACTAAAACCTTGGGCATGTACTTGACGCTGAGATTTCAGCACTTTCTTTGAAGTGCTCATAAGTAGAATGAATAAATGTCATAATTTGTTTTGTTTTTTAATTCCTGATGCATCTTTCCAGTTGAGTTTTGAAGCAGACACAGAGTTCTCCAATCTCTCACACCCCCAGAACAGCCACCCTTGTCTGAAAGCCTCACTTGGCTYTTTTGCCTTCAGAACACCAAACCCCAAAGGTGCTGTGGCAGCAGGGAATGTGTGATTCCATCCTTCCTGCAGGTTTTGCTCCTGGATGAGCCCACGGCCGGGCTGGACCCTCTGTCCAGGCACCARGTKTGGAGCCTCCTGCGGGAGCAGCGCRCGGGGCGGGCGATCCTGTTCAGCACCCAGTTCATGGACGAGGCYGAYATCCTGGCAGGTGAGYATGGGTATCCCTGGAGCACAAAACCCCAAAAAGTTGGGATGATTGCTTTTCAACACAAATTCCTTTGGTTTTTTCTTTCTTTAGACTGCAAGGCTTTCATCTCGCATGGGAGGCTGAAATGCGTCGGCTCTTCTCTGTTCCTGAAGAAAAAATGGGGGATTTGTTATCATTTAAGGTATCTCACTCAGCCCCAAAAATTGTGTCTGGGGATGGGCATRTGCAAGGGTACACCAGAATTAATAAATCCCTAGAGCAGATGTCATCAGAGCAAGCAAATTAACACAATTAATATTCAGTTACATGAATTGAAACAGCAGTAAGAGCTAGAGTTAGGGTTAATTAATCTAAAGTAAGRAATTAATGAGGAATGCTGGAGATTTCTTTTCATGCATCCATGAAATGGTGGTTGTTGTTTGTCTGGGTTGTTTTTATTCTAAACCTGAGTATCTGTATTTTTTTTCCACACAATAGGATCCACGTCAGTGAGTCCTGTGATTTGGAGAACGTGACATCCCTGGTGAAAGGGTACATCCCCAACGCCACATTCTCAGGACACAACCAGTATGAACTCAGATATAAACTGCCTCTGGAAAACGTGAATAAGTTCCCAGGTAGTGTATATGAAAATAATTGAGAATTTTCCGGAGTAAAAATAATCACAAATGTGGGGAAGGAGAAATGCAAAAGGGAGATTTTCTACAGGAGTCACACCAGGACTTCAAAACTGTCTCACTTTGGGTTTTCCTCAYAATTTTATCACATATTTAAGATCAAACTGTGCAATAAATGCTCTATTACTGTTTGCAGTGGCAAACTCATCAGGCTCAGCTGGGCCGTGTGTTACTGAGAGTTCAGTTTTCTTTCTGTTAGATGGAAAGACAGAGATAAAATAAAATCCCACCTGATTGGTGCCACTCTGTGCCCATTCCTCACTGACTGTGCCCATCACTTCAGCCTGATTATCCCACAGAGGATGAAAAAAAGTCTGAAATGTTGGTGCTAAGCAGRAAAACACCTTCCATGGGTGATGGGCATGGGGTTTTGTGTTGCCCCACACCTGTGTCCCCGCAGTTCATCACTCTGGCGCTGACTGTTGTCTCAGCCACACCAGAGCGCCCTGGAGATCAATGTTCACACCTTTGTTTCATCCCTGTCCCACAGATCTGTTCAGTGGCCTGGACAGCTGCTCTGAGCAGGGAATTGTCACCTATGGAGTCAGCATGACGACCCTGGAGGACGTGTTCCTGAGGCTGGAGGGAGACGCCGCGGCCGATCAGGAAGGTACGAATTTACAACGCCCAACCAAAGATATCAGCTCCCCCACAGAAACCTCCAAAAGTGGCTCTGAAATGTTCATAAATCCTAGCCTAGCAGCTGTTTTTAGACTGAATGTTCACATGGAATCTCTCTGCAGATGTGCACGGCCCTGGGGAGGAGTGGGCAGAGCGATGTCCCGACGAGGCGCGGCCGAGCTCCCTGCTGCTCTCGGACACCGGGAGGGCGTCGGTGCAGGGCTGGGCTCTCTGGAGGCAGCAGGTCTCTGCCATGGCTCGGGTGCACTTCCTGAAGCTCAAGAGCTCGGTGAAGAACCTGCGCTCCATGTGAGTACCCAGGGGATTCTCTCCTGGAGGATTGGAACCGGACATGGGGACAGTTCCACACCCATTTCAATGAGAGTTTGGGTTCATGGATGAGAGCTCTTGGTTATCTGCACTGGCTGGGAATGATCTTGGTTATCTGCATTGACTGGGAATGATCTTGGTTATCTGCACTCAGAGGAGGGGAAAGTTTTTTCCTCCCCCAGTGCCAGCAACACAAAATCTCCCTTTTGTGCATTTTCATTTCCATGCTGAATAATTCATGTAAGAGAAACCCATTATCTTTCCAAAGAAAAGAATCATTTACAAATACTTTTATATCAAATGGAGGAAGTTTTAAAATAAGTCAGTGTGTACAGAGAGTACTATCAGGCTTCCTCTGCATTTCTATTTTTTTTTTTTAATTTTCTCATGTTTGAACTCATTTGGCCTCATTAAGTTCAAGCTGACATTTCCTGGTGTGGCATAAGGAACTAAAGGAAGATGCTGATTTATGAAAACCTTGTATCTAAAGGAAGTCTGAAAGGCATTTCATGGCCCTAAAATGTTGAGCGCTCCAGATCTGAGGTCCTCTCCCTGCTACTTTTCGAATCATTTGGTGAATGATCAAAATTTGAGATCTCTGGAAATGAAAGTCTCTGATTGTCAGTGACAGGGCCTGAGGGAACGGCTGGGGTTGTGTCAAGGAAGATTTTAGGAAAAGATTCTGACCCCAGGGAATGGTCCTGGCCCCAAAGCTGCCAGATCCAGGAATTTTTGGACACCATTCCCAGGGATGCCCAGAGTGGGATTGTTGGGGTGTCTGTGCAGAGCCAGGRGYTGGACCCAATGACCCTCGTGGGTCCCCTCCAGCTCAGGAAATTCTGTGTTTCTACGAAAATTGCAGAAGTTTTTCTCAAGACTGTTGAGTAACCTGAACATCACCAACGGTTTCCAACACACGAATGCATTCTGAGCGCATTTCTGCTGAACGTTTGTTTTCAGAGTGTCTATTCATCTCTTTCTCAATATAGCCTGCTGCTCTATGCGGTTTTTCTGCTTCCTCTGGTGTTGCAACTGTGCTTGGTGGCTGGCTGGCAGAGCGTGAGCGCCTGGCAGCTCTCCCCTGCACGTTATTTCTCACCCTCGAAAAGGACATCCTACCTGGAGCCCACCACCCTTCTGGTCTACAACGACACAGGTGAGGGCAGAGAGCTCTCCTCATCCTTCCCTGGGCTGGGCTTCTCTCTGCTCCACAGGAAATTCAGGACAGAGCAGGTGGATGAGGACATAGAGGATCCAAGGCGGGGATGAAGGTTTTAATGAGGGAAGAGAGTTGGGATTATCTTTATAGGGTTGTGAGTGAAACCTATTGTGGCTCCAGCAGCTGGTGAGATCCCAGTGAGAGATGTGGGAAAGGATATCAGAGCAGATGGGATTAGATGGGGACATGGGTCTGTCCCTGYCACAAWTCCAGGTCYCCATCCAAGCAATTTTGGAATSTGGGATTCTCAAAGCAGGCACCACKCTCYRGGCTCACTAATGCTGAGCCAAATTCATGGGCTGTTGTCAGAGTTTCACCATCAGCATTCCCGTGAGTGGGTTTTATTTCGTGTTATTTGGCCAGAGAATGGCACTGGTATCTTCATCAGACAGCCCCAAAGGAAAATTCATTTTGTAGCATCTTCGAAAAGGCAGGTAGAAAAAAA